GAGCAAGCCTGGAAGAGTACACCATGTCCCAAACCATGGTACAAAGATTTCATTTTAAATTTTATTTTATTAGAGATTTGGAAAATACTGATTTATTTTCTTGTATGAGGGTGATATAAGATTACTGTTTCAATAAACGTATTTGAGTAAAGAAGATATTTATTTGAAGAAAAATATGAAATATTTGGTACTTCAGAAGATGTGCCAAAAATTTTGACAATTGTATGTAAGTCAAGTTTGGGAAACACTGCTAAGAAAAGAAAGTGGAATCTCAGAGGGAAGGGGTTGGTGGTTGGGTGGGTGGGAAGAGATTAACCAAATAATTTATATGCATATATGCATAATCCATGGACACAAACAGTAGGGTGGTGAAGGCCTGGGGCGGGTGGGAACCAGGGAGGGAAGTAAGGAGGAAAAGGGGGGGAGGGCATCTATAATACTCTCAACAATAAAGATAAATAAAATAAAACTAAATAAAAGAAAAAAGAAAAAGAAGAGGAGTAGGATTTGGAAGACCTGCATTTGAATCCTGGTTCTGCTATGAAATATAAACAGCTGATCTTAAGCCTCTGAGCCAGTTTCTTCATGTATAAGTTGAAATGATAGTATTTTCTTTTGTCTAATGGAAAGGTTTTTGTGTGAAATAGGTAGAATGCATATTGAAAGTGGGTGTTGTTGTTTTTTGCTGATTCACTTTTGAAAATTTTTATTTTTCAATTATAGTTGACCTTCAATATTATTTTATATTAGTTTTAGGTGTACAGCATAGTGGTTGGACAAGGATATGAAACAATGATATGTAAGTGTTTTTTTAAGACTGCAAAGTGATCTTCAAGTTAAACAACAATAGCAAACCTGTAATATCACTAGCAATTTATTTCAAGAGAGATTAGGACATCAGTGAATGAGAACTTTCAAAGACAAACCGTTTTGTTTTGTTTTTTCCCCTTCATGGGTGACAACTGAGTAGGTTCCATATTTCGGTTGACTGTTTGCCTGTCACTATTCAGGAAGAGAGAAGTATGAAACATATGCTTGCTTCTCTCAAGATTGTATAAATGCTTTCGCCTTTTACTTAAAACTGCTGCAGAACTGTATAGCAGTGCACAGTGGGACCTTGCTATTATTTAAGTCAAAGGTGTTCCTCGTTTTGGATGCCAATGAGGAACAAAAATCCAACTGAGTTACAAAAATCCAACTGGAAAGGAAATGTAGGGTGTGATTCTTTGGGACTAACTCCTACTGTAACCTCTCTTCCACTTCTAGTTTGAATTGTGCTTTTAATGCCTGGGAGATGGTTGGAATTCAAAATGGGGATTGGAGGCAGGTGGGGTGTTGTGGCTCAGCCCCTCCTCTTTTCTTCAAAAGATGAAATCTGATTCACAGGCCTAGATCTTCTACTAGAGGAAGCTTTGTGGGACCCAGAATAGCCACCCCCAACTTTTTCTGTAATAGAGCTAGCCCTGATAAAGGAAGTAGGAGTAAAGACCCAGAATGCTTAGTTGAATCAGTTTTCAATAAAAGGTGAAACCTTGTATTGTATAACATGAATACATGGCTTTCAAAACACATGGGGAACTATGAGTTTCATTTTTAGAAGGTATATACTGTGCATTTAAAAAAGTGATTCATTTTAACATATGCTTTCTCAAATTCATTTGTCAACTACCTTGCATTGCTGAAAGGAGCATTTTCTTTCTTTTTTCCCAAAGTTACTTGATGAAGGTACTTGTGAAATTGTATGGAGAGATTAAAAGATGCAAATTCAATAGGATAAACATTGAAATTTGAGGACTTTTTTTTGCATTCTGTATTAGGAGGATGCTTGGCATAAGGCAAGACTTTGTTTGAAATTATTTTCAGTGCCTAAGGCTTGCCTTCCTAGATGTGGCTTGATTAATTTAATTTCTCTGAGAAATTGATCACAGACTTTGAGTGTTAAAGCTGGAAGCTGCAGTCAGTTTCCTTTCTCTTGGGGTCCATGCGAACATGGTACATAAGGGACAAAGAGTTCAATTTTTCTATTAGAAAATCTCTGAGGTCCCCAAATAGTATTTTTTTCTATTTTGACTAAATTTTCATGAATACTCACAAACATGATAGGGGTGACTTGCTTCATTTGATCTCACGGTTCTACAAGTCTAAATTTAGGACTTGTAGTGAAATATATAGGTTTATTAGGAAAATTTTTGCTAGCTTTTTTGAGGTATAATTGAAAAATAAAATGTAAATATTTTAAGTATACAATGTGATGATTTAATATATCTATACATTATGAAAGGATTACCACAGTCAACTTAATTCACATCTATCACTTCACATAGTTAACTTTTTTTGTGTGGTGAGCCCACAACCCAGGCATATGCCCTGACCAGGAATAGAACTGGTGACTTCCTGGTTCATAGGTGGATGCTCAACCACAGACCCACACCGACCAGGCTCTACTTACTTTGTTAAGATTCCACATTAAGTGTTACCATTAGTATTTATCTTTCTCTGTCTGGCTTATTTCACTTAACATAATGCTTTCCAGATTTATCAGTGTTGTCACAGATGGCAGGATTTTATTTTTTCTTGTGGCTGAACAATATTCCATTGTGTGTATGTGTGTGTGTGTGTGTGATATTTTCTTACCCATTCATCTGTTAGGACACTGGGGATTGAGTTGTTTCCATGTCTTGGCTATTGTGAACAACACTATAATAAATATGGGAGTGTAGATATCTCTTTGTGATAGTGATTTTATTTCCTTTGGATAAATGCCCAGAAGTGGGATTGCTGGATTATATGGTAGTTCTATTTTTAATTTCTGGAAGAACCTCTTTACTGTTATTGTTAGAATCTTTTAGACTTGTTGAACGCTGATTCTTATTGGTTAGAGTGGTTTATACTTATCTTTCTAAGTAATCTTATAGAGGAAGCTCTGAGATGCCTTTCAGATATGGACATGTGATATAGCTGTAACCTGTTGTGAACCAATTAAAAACCATTATCAAAGAATTGTGTTGATACATTGTGCTGGAAACTGCCTTAGATACTCTGTACACAAATATAAATATAACCCCATAATCCATCATTATAAGTTTTAAATAATCTTAAATTCATCGGTTATGATGTCTTAATATATCTTAAATTCAGTTTTCCTTATATAGTTTTTATTATAAAAATTTAAAATCATTTTTAATTTTTACAGTTGACATAAAATATTCTATTAATTTCAGGCATACATCCCAATGATTAGACATTTTATAACTTACTAAGTGATCATCCCAATAATTTATTATAAAATTTTTAAGAAAAATACTTTAAGTAAAATATTATTAGAAATCGCTAATATATCCATCTTGGTTTAGCATAGTGTATTGAGATATGGCTCTGGTTGAATCTGAATATGTCAAAGTTCATTCAACAATTAGTGAATGTTCTAGGTTCTGGAATTTTGGCAGTGAACTATAAAGGAGAATCCCTGTTCTTAGCTACGCAGAGAGGTAACTAGACGGTATGTCAGATCATGGAAGTTTAGTGAAGGAAAAGATGGTACGAAGGTAGCTAATGGGACCCTATTCCAAGGTCAGTACCTTGAATATTAGTAGCTTTGTTATTTCTGAGGGGAGGAAAGGCTGCCTGAGGTAGAAAGAACAGCACCTTTGTAGTCATAGTCCCAGGTTTGAATTCCAGCTCTGAAGGCAGGCAAGTTACTTAACCTGAATTCAGTTCAGGATTTCCTCATCTGTAACATGAGGATAAAGATTAAACCTATTTTATAGGGTTGTTTTGAGTATTACATGAGAAAATGTAGAGAAAGCACTTGGCATGATGCTTTGTATATGGAAAGGGCTCCGTAAATGCTTTTAGCACGGTTATTAATAAATCATATCCTAGATTACTCGGAGTCACTGACCCTACTCCTTGTAACCTTAGCCTCAGGCTGGGGCCCTACTATCACTGCCCAGGTCGCCTGGAAGTCCAACAGGGATCCACTGACTTTGCTACTTGGAACCTCACCCTTTTTATGCCATGACCATTGGATCAAGCATCTCTAGTACCTCTGCTTGCCCCAACTATGCCAAAAATTGATACACCCTTCAGACAGTGTGCCGGGTACAGAGTAGACACATGAATGTTGATACTTTCTCCCCCAGTTACTCAGTGAATAATGCATATTCAACAAATATCAACTTTTTGTGTTACTTTAAACTGGCCAGTGTGTGTGTGTGTGTGTGTGTGTGTGTGTGTGTGTGTGTGTGTGTGTGTGTTAGAGGCATGGTGCATGAATTCGTACATGAATGGGGTCTGGCCAGCTTGGCCAGAAGGAGGGGACTTGGGTGGTTGGCCTGCATACCTGCTGGTCAAACTCTTGGTAGAAGGGACACTTTGCATATTAGCTTTTTATTATATGGGATATATAATACACTGATTGGCCAGATTATTATGAGTTCAGAGATCACAATAATCTGGCTAGTGAGTGTGTGTGTGTGTGTGTGTGTGTGTGTGTGTGTGAGAGAGAGAGAGAGAGAGAGAGAGAGAGAGAGAGAGAGAGAGAGAGAAAGAGAGGGGGGGAAAGGGAGAGTGAGATAGAGACATCAATGATGAGAGAGAATCATTTATTGGCTGCCTCCTGCACACCCACACTGGGGATTGAGCCTGCAACCTGGGCATGTGCCCTGACCGAGAATTGAACTGTGACCTCCTGGTTCATAGGTTGATGCTCAGCCATTGAGCCATGCTGGCTGGGCTGTTACTTTAAATTCAATAAATTTTGGAAGGTACGTGGATAATCAGAGTTCAGTGTCATCTCACCAGAAGTCTTGTCTTTAGCAGAGAGGTCTGTATGTGTTTGGTGTGTGTCTAGCTAGGGAGGATATTCCTCTTGAAAAGTGTCTCCTTTAAGTGATTATCATCATCTGTAATCTCTTCTCTTGTGAAATAATAAATAGCACCTGGAGAGAAACTTACCTTGTGAGTTTGACCATATTAACTTTCCTTTATCTCTTATTAAGGAGAAGACCAAAGTTGTTGAGCCCTTGGACTATGAGAATGTTATCATCCAAAGAAAAACCCAGATTTACAGTGACCCTCTCAGAGACCTGCTTATGTTTCCAATGGAAGACATATCCGTGAGTTCACAAGCATTTTTTTAAAAAGAAGTAACACCCTGCATTTGCCAAGCCAGTTTTTACAGCAAGTATGATCCTTGTCTTCTAGATCTCGGTGATAAGTCGTCAGCGCAGAACAGTGCAGTCCACTGTCCCAGAAGATGCCGAGAAAAGGGCTCAGAGTTTGTTTGTCAAAGAGGTAAGAGGCTCAAAGGCCGCAGAGGAACATTCATCGTATATTTCAAATATTCTTCCTTTACTGTAAATGGAAAATAAAATTACTGTTACTTTAACTGACCCACAGAACAAGTCTATATGATGTGATACAGAGATTACAGCTTAAATACTTTCACAGGTAGCATGTATTCTTAGTCTTTTTCTTTTGGATTTGAATATTGTCTGCACTTGGACTCAGTGTTGGAGAGAGCATGAAATTGGCAGTTGTTGCTGCCAATTGGTTTTGGGAAACAGTGAATCCCCAAAGGAAGATCCAAGTACCTAAATTTCCCAAGTGATTTTTAAGTTTTACAGCTTATTACCTGATTTTTTTAAAAATGGCTAAATGTATATTTTTTGTATTTATCAAATTACAGATTTCTCTTTTCTTTCAGTGTATTAAAACCTACAACACAGATTGGCATGTGGTAAACTACAAGTATGAAGACTTCTCTGGAGACTTTCGAATGTTGCCATGGTAAGTACAGAATTCAAGTGAAGCCTTCTAAAGGAGAATTATTAAGCATTTTATCTTTTTTTTAACCACTTATGAAACTTCTTAGTTACAATTTATGCTAAAGCAAAACCTCAAACAACCAGCATGTTTTGTAGATGCGATATTTTGGATAACTGAATATGTCTTTACTTTGCTCACTGAAATTCTTTTCAAAATGCATGAGTTCACTTTTTCACTTTGGTTTATCTATATTGACCATAAAATTATCTTTATTTGATTCTGGATAACATACTGAGTATTTTCCAGTGGTGTCACTGAAAAGGCTAGAAAATATATGGCTCAATTTGATGACCCCAGATAATCTCTGGACAAAGTATATCTCTTTCAGTTGAGTTGAAGGACCACTATGAGTACACTGGCTCAGGGTTCAAATTTTATTTCTACCACATACTTGCTAGATGACCTTGGGCCAGTCACTCAAGTCTGTTTGAGCCCTCATTTTCTCCCCTTTTCTCATCCATAATACTGCCAACCTCACAGAGTAACATACAGATAAAGTTTTGGAGAAATAAGACTTTGTATATCCTTTTATAGTTTCTATTTATTTATTTATTTATTTTTAAAAATACATTTTATTGATTTTTTTACAGAGAGGAAGAGAGAGGGATAGAGAGTTAGAAACATCGATGAGAGAGAATCATTGATCAGCTGCCTCTTGCACACCCCCTACTGGGGATGTGCCTGCAACCAAGGTACATGCCCTTGACCGGAATTGAACTTGGGACCTTTCAGTTTGTAGGCTGAAGCTCTATCCACTGAGCCAAACTGGTTTCGGCCCTTTTATAGTTTTTAAAGTACTTACCCAGAGGAGAAAACTGAGTCCTAAAGATGTCCTGTAAAACTGACTCCTAAGATGATCTGTTGGAGGTCATATACCAAACAGATGATAGAGTCATAATTACACTGCTACTTTTTAAAAAATATCTTTATATATATATATATATATATATATATATATATATATATATATACATATATATATATATATATATATATATATATATATATATATAGAGAGAGAGAGAGAGAGAGAGAGAGAGAGAGAGAGAGAGAGAGGGATATCAACTGATTGCATTTCTTTCTGTGCATGGATGATACTCATCCAACTCGACCACAGTGGCCGGGACACTATGTTGCTTTTTGACCTGGGGAAAGATAAGGTTTTGCCATCAATAACAGCTCTAATACACATTCTTTGACAATTTCTGCCCTTCCCCAGCAAAGTATCTGGGCTTAGTTATATCTTTGCTGCTGGCTGCTCGTGTGGGAATCCTTATGTAAAAGGTAATATAAGTTTAGTCAGAGGAGAGAATCTGAGTTTGGGAAGAAGAAAAGAATTTCTCCTCTTCGTGTCTTGGCATTTTAATTTTTTTTGTGAAAGAAAGAAGTCTTTTTTATTATGTTTTGTTTTCTGTTTTGTTCAGTGTTTAAGATAATTCTCTTGCATTTTCAGCAAATCCATGAGACCAGAAAAGATTCCAAATCATGTATTTGAAATTGATGAGGATTGTGAAAAAGATGAGGTAAAGACTGGGGCCCCTGCACTGTTTTCTTCAAGGTCCCTTCTATTGAAAGATTTCCTTGAGAAAAGATGAGGGAAAGAATTGTATTTGAATGACCTGTGGCCAACTTTCAAATTAATTAGTTATTTTAAAAAATAACTAATTAATTTGAACGACATAGACTGATGAACAAGAACAGACCCAGAGATAATGAGCCATGGGTCAGACTGTTAGACTTCAAAGGGAGGGTGGGGATAAAAGGGAGAGATCAACCAAAGCACTTATATGCATACATATGAGCCTAAACAGTGGTCAAGGACAATAGGGGCATGGGGGCATGAGAGGATGGGGGGTGGGGGATTGGAATGGGGGGTTGAGGACAAATATGTGATACCTTAAAGACATTTTAAAATAAATAAGTTCTTGCATTTCTAAATGGAATGGGGGGTGGGAATCAAGTGAACTGGGCTGTGATTTGTATATAATCACTAGAAGCCTGGTGCACAGATTTGTGCACTGGTGGGGTCCCTTGGCCTGGCCTATGGGGATTGGGCCAAAACCAGCTCTCTAACATCCTCTGAGGGGTACTGGACTCTGAGAGGGCTCAGGCCAGGCTGAGGGGCCCTGTGGGTGCATGGTTGGGACCAGGGAGGGATGCGGGAGATTGGCCAGCCAGGGAGGGGCCGAGGGAGGGCTCCAAGGTGTGTCTGGCCCATCTCACCCAGTCCTGATCAGCCGGACTCCAACAGCAAGCTAACCTACTTGTCAGAGCGTCTGCCCCCTGGTGGTCAGTGCATGTCATAGTGACTGGCCAAGTGGTCAGACACTTAGCATATTAGGCTTTTATTGTATAGGATTAGATAGGATGTTTATCACTTGTGGGACATGCTTGTGGAGTTGCTTTTCCTGCACTGGGCATGTGATGTGGTGATTCATCTGGTCTCTTCTGCCTGATAGATCCCTCAGGGGACAGATGGCCTGGATATCTGTGACATTTTGCTTGTTGACATAATGCAGAAGACTTTCCCAGATGACAGCTTATACAATTAAGTAAATAATAAGAGCCTACTGTGTGCACAGCACAGAGTCTTTCATTTTATAATTAACAGTTACAAGTTTAATCAGGCATCTTCTCGGAGGGAGGGGACTGTTAGGCTTTGATTAGAAACTGGAGCAGGGCCTAGTTCGTGCCCCCCAAACACTATTTCACTATTTGATTAGATGTCTGGCTGTTGTTTCATTGATGGTTTTTACTCTTTTCAGGATTCATCTTCTTTGTGTTCTCAGAAGGGTGGTGTGATAAAACAAGGCTGGTTGTACAAAGCAAATGTAAATAGCACCATCACGGTCACCATGAAGGTAAGAAGTAGTTATAGTATTTCATCGTTTTAAGGACATTCTCATTAGTAACCTGTCTGGAAAGAATATTTCTTTAAAAAAATATTTATAATGAACTTTAACAACAACAAAAAAAAACTTTAATGAGAAGATTTTCACAGATGTATGCAATTTAAAAAATCTGAAGTCTCAGGATGAATTGAGAAGTGTACCTTTAAAAGAAAACTAGTTATTATTTTCTGAATTAAGAAGTTGAAAAAGGAGGCTTTCAGGGGAATAAAGAAAATAGCTTTGAAAGAAAAGGGCATCAGAATTTCTGTTTCTTTTATTTACTTACTAGAGGCCCAGTGCATGACATTTGTGCACAGGTGCAGTCCCTAGGCCTGGCTGGCAATCAAAGTGTGAGCATCTGGCATGGAAGGGCAGGTCCCATCTGACCTCCAGGCCCTGAGTAGTACCTGGGCCCCTAGGCCCCCCGCACATCCCTTGCCGGCTAAGTCATGGTGCCCGAGTTCCCACATGGAGATGCAGTGAGCATGGCTGGACACCGAGGGTCGGGGCATAGCATGGGCGTCTGGGCCACCCAGTGGCACTGCATGGAAGCCGGGCAAGCAACAAACTCTCTCCTGGCCAGGTTTGCAGACGGGCTCCTGCGTGAACCCACAGGGAGCCCGACCAGCCCCTGCAGTCCTGGTGGCTGCTGGCCTGGCTCACTCGGAAGAGGCAGCAGGAATGCAGGGCAGGCTCTTTGTGGGCGCCAGCACCTGAGCACAGGCGGGGGCTTCCTCTGCTCAAGAGCCCTGGTGTCCTGGGGGAGGCTAGCAGGGGGAGTGAGAGTGGGCTGGGTGGACACCCTGTATTCTCATCGCTCCTCCATCCCCATCACCCCCACCCCCAGGTAGCTGGTGAGGGGTCGCAGCAAGTCAGTGACACCACCATGTTTCGTGCCACCCACTGGTACATGTCATAGCGAGCAGTCAAACTCCTGGTCTCCCTGTCTAATTCCTTGTCCAACGATTGTTCGAGGGGACAATTTGCATATTAGGCTTTTATTATATAGTATTTTTATTTCTCAAGAACAGTTTATATTTTATATTATTTTGTATTAGATTTAGGTGAACAGAAGAGTGGTTAGCCTATCATATACTTTACAAAGTGATTCCCCCTAATATTTCCAGTACCCACCTGGCACCACACATAGTTATTACAATGTTATTGACTAGATTCCTTATGGTGTACTTTATATCCCTGCAACTATTTTGTACCTTCCAATTTGTACTTTCACTTTTTTCATCCAGCCCCCCAAACCCTACTCTCTGGCAAATATTTCTATGTGGAAATAAATGCAATGAGTAGAGGGAAAATACAAAGTTATGTAAGATGGGGTTTCTTGACTCCAATAACCTCCAGCCTAGCTAGATTTGAAACATATTAAATTACTATATAAAGCTGTACATCAATACTGTCAGAACTAGAGAGTTTTTTGTTTTGTTTAAAAAATATTTTTATTGACATAAGAGAGGAAGGAAGAGGGAGAAAGAGAGAGAGAGAGAGAGAGAGAGAGAGAGAGAGAGAGAGAGAGAGAGAGAGAGAGAGAGAAACATCAATAATGAGAGAGAATCATTGATCGGCTGCCTCCTGCATGTCTCCCACTGGGAATGGAGGCTGAAGTCCTCACATGATCCTTTGACCAGAATCAAACTTGAACTCAGGACCCTTCAGTTCATACACTGACACTCTGTCCACTGAGCCAAACCAGCTAGGGCACAACTAGAGAGTTTTCTAGTTTGGTCAGAATAGTGAGTCTGTGTAAGGGCTTTATCACACAAGGTAGAAACAGAGAAAGGGATTATGTTGTACAGGGCCTTGAATGTGTCAGACATGAGCTTGGCTTTGGGAGACTTTGAAGAACCATTAAAATCCAAAGGTAAAACTAACAAGCTCCTTGGAGATTCTGAGCAGGGAAATAAATTAATCACTGATATCCCAATAGAACTGTTCTATCAGATATTCAATATAAGATCATGTGGTTTGCTGCATATGATTCACACTTCCATTAAGTTTTGAAGGTCATTATGTCTTGCACATTGCCTGCAAGCAGAAATCATGGGTATCTACCAAGGAAAGACTCAAATTTTATCTTAATTTAATATCTCACTTCCTGGTTTCCATTTAGTGGTCAAGTCCTATCCTCACTTTCATTTTCAAGCTCTGAAAATAATGAATAATAAGTTGTAGGATGCTTCTTATATGCCTCCTGCACCTAATCACAGGCCTTTGCACATGATAAGAGAATCCATTTAGTGAATATGTACCAGGCACCATGCTAAGTGTTTCATATTCTGGATCTCATTTAATCCTCATGGAAGCCTGTGTTAGAGGTACTGTATTATTAGGTTATAGATGTGGAAAGTGAGACACAAAGAAATTAAATGATTAATCCAAGGTCACACAACTTTAGCTTTTCAGAGGTGGGATTTGTACCTACACAGGCTAATGCCTGAGCCTATGCTCTTATCCAGCATACGCTTGGTGCTCACTGGCTGAGTTGGTGAGTCTCAAGTCTTCATTATATCTCCTGTAAGAATACTGGGTAAAGAAATGCATGTGTGAAGGTTAAAATTCTATGCGAGTTACTAGAAAATGGTTATTAAAAATATACTTTTATTGATTTCAGAGAGATAGGAAGGTAGAGGGAGGGAGAGAGAAACAAAACAGAAACATTGATTGGCTGAAGAAGGTAGAGGGAGGGAGGGAGGGAAGAAAGGAGGGAGGGAGAAAGAGAGAAAGAAAACACAAACATTGATTGGCTGCCTCCCATACACACCCTGCCTGGGGATTGAAACTTTTAGTGTGAGATAATGCTCCAACCAACTGAGCCAAACTGGCCAGGGCATCTTTATGGTTTGTTTGTTTTTAAAATGTATTTTTATTGATTTCAGAGAGAGGAAGGGAGAGGGAGAGAGAGATAGAAACATCAATCATGACAGAGAATCATTGATTGGCTGCCTCCTGCATGCCCCACACTGGGGGTCGATCCTGAAGTCCAGGCACATACCCTGACTGGGAATCAAACCTGTGACCTCCTGATTCATAGGCTCAACCATTGAGCCACACTGGCCAGGGCAGTTTTATAGTTTTTGACTCTACCCCTTTCCCCTTAACATTCTCAAAATATTTCAAGGTTTTGTCCATGCTCAAGCATAAAATAAAACATTAGGGAATTAATCCTATGTAATAAAAGCCAAATATGCAAATTGTCCCCTCGGGCAGTCCTTCGACCAGGAGACTGGCAGTCTGACCACTCGCTATGATGTGTGCTCACCATCAGGGGACAGCAGGCATCAGCGACACAGCACTGGCAGTGGGCGGCAGTGGAGGTGCTGCCAGCCCCGATGGACCCTGATGAGAGCAGGACCACAGCAGGATGGTGGAGCAGGTGAGAGGGTGACACCAGGCCCAGGAAAGTGTGAGTGGGCACCCAGGTGCTGCCCGGGGCCCAGAGGTCATCTGGGACCTGCCCTTCCACGCCAGATGCTCATACTTTGATCACCAGCCAGGACTAAGGACCACACTCGGACATGAATTTTGTGCATCAGGCCTCTAGTATCTTCATAAAACAATTCACCACAGGTTTCCTTTCAATAGTGAGTTGATCTAATGCCTGTAAATTATAATTTGATTTACTTAAAACTTCTTTAAGGTCCCCATTATAGTGAACACTCACAAATATAAAATACAGTTACTATAAAAAGTATATGTTTTGCCCTAGCTGGTTTGGTTCAATGGATAGAGCATTGACCTTGGACTGAAGGGTCCCAGGTTCGATTCTGGCCAGGGGCACATGCCTGGGTTGTGGGCTTGATCCCTTGGTGTGGGGCACCTCTACTGCCGCCCACTACCAGTGCTGTGTCACTGATGCCTGCCGTCCTGATGGTGACCACACAAAGTTCCCAGCCAGGAAGCAGAAATTCATGAAAGGTTGGAGCGTCTGAGGCAACCTGGTGACCATATGGCCTGGCTGAAGGGGACAGCTGTGGTTTGTCTCCAGCTAATTGTTATTCTGCTGATGCTGACCACGGGCTCTTTGCTTTCCCTCTTTTTATCTCCAGCTGTTCATATTTTGGACACTTGTTTTGTTTTCAGTGAGGTATAATTCACAGACCATAAAAACACGTTTCTTTGGAAAGCCTCTATCAACCAGTAGGCAAAGGAAGGAAAAGAAGAATAAGCCAAATTGATTATATGTACTACACAGCTTTAAAAAGAAAAAAAGAAAAGAAAAGAAAAGAAAAAGAATAGGGACTATTTTGAAATAGTAAACCCTATAAAGAGATTTGGGAATTGTCTCTGGGTATGGATTTCACTTATCCCAGCTATTCTCCATTATAGATTATGAATTCCCATTTTGGATTTCTGGGAGGTGAATATATATATCCTGTATTCTCCTGGTTTCACCTCCTAAGCCATAGCAGTAGTGTTGTATTTCAGGATTAATCACTGCTAGAATGGGCATGAGAAGAAGGTTCAGCCCAATTCAGTTAAGGTGTCTGAGGGATTTTGCCTAGATATTTTTTCCTAGAGTAATTGTGTTTTAACTGTTATTTAGTTCACCATCGTTGAAATTAGTTGAAACTTGCAATGTTTACTGTACCCTCTCTGTATATATTATAAGTAGAGAGCACGTGCGTGTATGGAGTGGGCTGGGAGCAGATTGGGCATCTGCAGCCATTTTCTAGTCACCAGGATGGAATTTGGAATAGTCAAAGTCCAGGCCCATGAACCAAGGTGCACCAGGGGACTCGGGCTTGTACCCTGAGGTGTTCTGTTCCAAGGTGGGGGTCATGCACCTTCCTCCTGCTTCAGGCCTGGATTGGCTCAGGCCTAGGAGAGAGGCTAAACCTACAGGTGAGGTGACTGGCTGACCCAGCTCTAGGAGAGCTGGGAAAAGCAGAAGCAAAAGAACTAAAATAAAGGGCTGAAAGAATCTATGAGACACTCTGAAAGGAAATTTCTATATA